ATAAATATGTTAAGCCCCAAGACCTAAGCCTAAGCCTGCCTGAAGCCTCAGGGCTAATGTTTTGAAGGCAGTGGTGCATTTCACTCAGCTTGAAGCCCCAGCCAGGCTTTCTCAGCTTCGCTGATGTCCAGACACTTTGCGATCGGCTGCCTGGAGACAGCCTCCGGCTTGGAGTTCAAGAAGCTGCTAATGATGGCGCCAAATGCATTTACTTTGGTGCATTCTCGCGTGGTGGCATCACAAAGCTGAGAGCATCCACAAGGCGGTTCCCGACTTGCGCTCGGCTTCTGGCCCAGGTTTTTAGAACGCATTCGCCCTCACATCGTTTCACCACCATGGCCTTGATCAGAGATGTCACTTGTTTTGCATTTGATCGGCGGACTGAAGTGAGCAGGGGATTGTGTGTGGATCGGCGTAAGAATGGGGCAGATATGTTTCTACAAAAAGTAGGCAAGTATTAGATAGAGAACAAATTCTAAGGATAGATGACGGACGGACCGGTCACAGATCGATAGGCAGGATGGATATTGTTTTGTGAAGTATGAATGTATATATTATATTATATATCTATATATTATATATTAGATCAGATTATATATACATATAACAGAATAATACGAAAATATAAAAATATATGTATTGATGATGATATTATATATATGTATATATAACATGAATATAAAATATATGTGTTTGTCAGCTAAATTTACTGGATGACTATGCTTGTAGTAGCATGCTATATATATATATATATATATACTGCAGTTGCTATAGTAGAAAGTCAAAGTCTTTACAATGCCTGATGTCACGTTGCCTTGTTGGCTTTTGGCACGGGTCCTTGACAAAACAGTTTCAAAACAGGTTAAATCCTCCTGGCATTGCGACTCCAACAACATGCCTGACAGCCTGAGCTTGATCTTGCCAGCTTCGCGGTGGCTGGGCGGGCCGCTTCTTTTAAAAACATCTGGAGGCAATCTGGAGCAAATTGAGATTGCGCCGAAGGGAGCCACGGGACGCGCTTTAAGCGGGGTCGGAGCGACCTTCGATGCTGCACAGCAACATGCTACTGGAGATTGGCTCGGCATTCGAACTGTTTTGGTTGCATTCAGTTGCCGTGATCCAGGCAGGCTTGTTGACGGCGATGTGGCAACTCTAAAGGACTGAACATCCACATGCAAGTTTTCACATGACGGTTAAGACGTAAGATATCACATCATATCTTAGAGACATAAGACATGAGGCATAAGGTGGCATGGCATAAGGCCTTAGCGTTATAATTATAGATTTATAGGCTATAGGCTTAATCAGCGCAGGATTCAGGGCCTCGGGCCTAGTTAGTCTACGAGTTTACGGCCTAACCCTACGTGCGGCAAGACTTTTCAAGCCTTATAACTTGATTTAATGAGACTCAAAACTTCAGCCTTAAGGGCCTTAAGCCTAAGCTTCAAGCCAGTAAGCTAAACGACTCAGATTGACGTATGCCCTAGGCCCTATGACTATGACTCGGACCCTATGACGGAAGGCGACGCAAGGCACGTTCACGTAAGCAGAGAAAAACCTTAAGCCTTGATCATAATCCACCCCCAAAGCCAAAGCCCGTAGCCCTGAGCCCTAGAGCTTCAGAGTACAAGCCTTGAGGCTCGTAACCTGACCCAAGACTCTCAGAAGGCTGGAGAGCCTGAGGGTTTGAAAACTTTAGTCCTTGCGGCCGCAGATTTGCCCAGCCAACTCCAGCAGGTTCAGAACTTTTCAACCCAGAGCCCGCGTTACCGAAGTTGCCGTTAAGTGCACGAGGACTTGGGCTTCTACCTGCCCTCGCAGCCGGCAGAGTGGGATCCGTACATGTGAATGTTTTCCGTCTTGGCCTTGGCAATGGACTCAGTCCTTGTCTATGTGTCCATGACTTTCTGACTTTGCTGAGCTTACGGAATCGGCGTAAGGCCTAGGGGGTGTTAGGCTTTGGGTCTTGGGCCTCGGGTGTCGGGTGTGGGGCGACCGGCAAGCGTGCTGTGCAGCCAGTGTGCGAGTTTGGGCCTCGAGCCGCCGTGTCACAGCAGCCGATCATCGTTGCGAGTTTATTTGCGGCGTGAGCGCGCATGTCCGTGGCAGGTGGCTTCAAAGCCTGAGTCAAGCTAAGGCCTGCGCGGTGACGTGATGTCGTGCCCGAAAACAGGCCAGCAAAAAACGGCAGCTGTTTGTTGAGCAGTTGGGTTGTTCGTGTCTCTGAGCTTGAACTTTTTGGCCATTCCAAGAGTCTTGGAGCCTGCAGCAGACCAACACCAAGGTTGTTTCTTTTCGAATTATTTAGTTGGAGATGCAGAACCGTGAGGGATGATTAATCTAAACGCTTAGCCGCTTAGCTTTACAAGTCTCACCTATTATGTAAGTTCCTGATATTAAATTATCTGAGTACTATTGAATAGTTTCTAAACATTAGTTCAAATATTTCGATAATATTTTGGAATATTTCGACATTATTTTAGAATATTTCAAAAGATATTTCAAAAGATATTAAGATATTTCTAAAGATATTACCAAACAATATTTTTTCATTTCTCTACTTAACTTTGTGCTTTCTCTACTTAACTTTGTCGTTTCTCTACTTAACTTTGTGTTTTCTCTACTTAACTTTGTTTGTAAATATTCTCAAAATATTCTTACAAAGTTTGAAAATATCTTTTGAAATATTCTTAATATCTTTAGAAATAATTAAACATATGTTTGGACATATTCTATATAATCTGTAAATATTTAAGCTATTAATGCTGGTGTATGAACTATTCCAAAGATTCCCGACTGCCTGCCGGCATTTGTTCAAGGGACTTGTGAGAGTTCGGCGCGCGCCTGCGACCGCTGCTCGGCTGTTCTGATTGAGGTTACCATTTGGGGTTGCCCACCGCCCACCCCTTGAGGCCCAGTAAAAAATTGGCGAGAGCTACCGCTGGGGGGCTACCCCTCTAATTTGAAAGAAACAGTAAGAGTCTCGCCCTGCCCCCCCCTTCCACGCTCAACTTCACTCCCCCACCCTTGCCTTCCCACCCCCCTCCTTCCCGCCCTTTTTCCCCACACCTTCCCCTCCTTATTCCGGTCGAAGGCCTCCTTCAGCCGCCTCGGCCCTAACCCCTAAACCCTAACTAAACCCTGCACCCTAAATCCTAAAGGCACTTAAAGCTTAAAACATCCAAGGTGATTTGTGAGTTTCTTCGACGAGGCTCTGGGCGCAGGCCTTGGGCCGGGTTTCTGTGGTCTTTGGCCTCAGGCCATGTCTCAGTCCGGTGAAGAGCCTGAGGAGGTTGAAGCTGAGGCTGCAGAAGCTGACGGAGAGACTGAAGAAGTTGAAGAGGTCCAGGACTCTGACTCCGAGCAGCAGCCAGCACCTCGTGCCCCGACTGTGGCGGAGAGCTCCGTCTATGGCGGGACGGGCTACCGCATCGTCTACTCGTGCTCGAAAGCCTCGGTGTGCTGCCTTTGTCAGGCCACGTCCACCGACCCTACGCCTCTTGATGATCCTGGAGCTGATGGAGTCATTCCATGGGCGAAGTATAGGAAGGTGCAGTTTGAGGGCGAAACAGTTCGTGTTCCTGAAGGGAAGATCGACTTGATTTGTCTGAACGTGTTCCGAGCTTTGGGTTGCTTCATCTGTACTACGAATCACTTTGTACTTTTTACTTTATTAAACTTTACTTTAGACTTTAGACCGTTTCGGTGCCCCCGTGCTCAAACAGTTCAATCTTGATGTTCCGCAGTTCCGATTTCAGTTTGAATTTAGACTCCTAGACCGCCCAAGCAGCCTAAGCAAGCCGCCTAAGCCTGCCTTAAGCCCTTGAAACCTTGGCCCCAGGCCGTAGACGTTTTTTTTTGTGTCTGCGCACGTTTAGACCGTTTAGATTGCAGCTCCCAGCCGAGGCCTGAACCAGGAGCACAAAAACTACACGGCCTACTTTGACTGGGTTTCAAAGAAGGAAAATCAGCCAAAGCACAAAGGTTTCCTTGCCAGCAGAAAAGAATGGATCAAGCAACATAATGAGAACCCAGACAAAGTGAAGCTGGCTTCGAAAGGCCAGGTGCAGCAGGCAGCCAAACTGCTCAAAGAGCACGCCATCGGTGGGCGGTTGCTGGCTCCGAAGAAGCAGTTTGTGACAGAGGAGGGCTGGGATCCGGAGCTTCATGGTGGTCCCTGGGACCCTTCGAAAGTCGAGGAGCTCGAAGTGATGGGGGAAGTTCAGAAAGGCATTTGGGTGGCCGTCGGCAAGAAAGGCGTGTTCGATTACGAAGAATACGATGATCGAAGCATGAAAGAACAACATATCGAGCACGACTCTGAACTCCAGGCCATCTTTGGGAACGAGGCTTTAAGCCGAAAGCGCAAGGCAGGCGTTCGAGCCTTCCAGGCGGTGTCAGCAAAAAGGAACACTGCTGCTGTGGAGGGTCGGAAGCTGGATCTTGCCAGCATAGTGTTGCAGATGAAAGAGCAAGGAAGTTTGCCAAGCACTGGCGAGGAGAAGGCGGCCTCAGGCTCTGGTTCTGAGTCATCGTCCTCGCGCAACAGCTCTGGGCAGGACAGCTCCGACGAGAACTCGAGTGAGGACGAGAATTTCAAAGCTCAGAGTTTTTTTGGGCACAGCTCGGCAGCTGTGAAGAAACCACCAAAGGCCAGTGCGAAAGCAACTTCCTCGAGTGCTGCAGCGCCTGGCTCCAAAGCCAAGGCGGCTAAGGCTAAGGCTAAGACCGCCCCAGCAGGCGGTGGCAGCAGCAAGGCTCCTGTGGGTTCAGGGCCAAAGGCAAAGGTGGCAAAGTTGAAGGGCCTCAAGGCTAAGTCTCCTCTCAAGAAAGGTTTCCTTGGGCAAAGTTCTGGCAACACGGGGAGGAAGTCGGCTCTCAAGCAAAAAAGCGAGACGAAGGCCCGAGACTCCAGCGACAACGGCCCAGAGAGCCAGAAGTTCACCGTCGCTGCGCCGTCTTTAGAGTCTAAATCTAAAGACCAGCCCCGTGAGCAGAACATGCTCAGCTTGGATGGCCGAGCCCAGAGGACTTTGTCCACGTGCAGGGACACCTTGCAAGACCTCGACAAGAGGTTGCGCAATGTGGATCTGGATGAGAAGCCCCCAAAGCCCGACAAGGACTCCCGTGCTGCGCACCGGCTGCAGAGCAGTGGCAAGTCAAAGGAGTTGACTGCCATGTCGAAGGTTGCCAAGGACCTCTTCAAGCGCATGGAAAAGAGCCCCAACAAAGACCATATCCTTTCAGAGTTGGAGCAGCTCGACAAATTCTCGGAAGCGGCCTCAGGCCTGGCGAAGTTGTTGACTGCTGCTTTGCCAGATGCCACAGACTCGGAGGCTTTGTGTTCGACTTTCGAAGCCAGCCAAGCAGCGCCCTGGCTTTCTTTGTTTTATAAACTTGAAATAACATATGACCTATTTATGACGACATATGACATATGACATATTCATTTAAGAAACTATCTATTTTCGATGTGTCAGTCCAGCCCACCCAGCTTTGCAAAGGCCCAGGCTATGTTGCGGCTTGTGCAGGCTTACTCGGCTAATTTCTTTATCACTAATTCAGTATGCGTCTGAAATCTAACGGAGTCTAACGGGTCTAGAGTCCAAAGTGGTTGTAAAGTTGAGAATTTACGGGCTTAATTGTTGCGACGGTGTTGATTTTGAAAGCTGACCGCCATAATACTTGCACATGGAATTCATCAGTGCTGGGTTAAAACATGTCATGTGGCAAGAATGAGAGGCGGGCTCGGAGTCAGGCTTAGGCCTTGCGTCGGTGTAGTGCGCTCAAGGCAAGCTTCAGGCTTAAGCGGCTTTAAGGCTTAAGGCTTAAGGCTGACGGCTTAGCGTGAGCATGCTTAGCCAAAATGTGTGAACAGAGGTAAATATTAAATAAGGCCCGGCCATAAAGCCTTCTACTGCTACTGTGGTCCGGTGACTAGTGACTAGCGGGCTGTCTGTCTGATTAATTCCGAAACCAACGTCGGACCAACGTGTCGGCTTTAGCGGCTTCAGGCCTGGGGTCCGGTTGTAGCCCAAATGCCAAATGGCCCTTACCATTTGCCATTTGCCGCAGTCACTATCCGCAAGTCTAAGTTTTCTGCGTGAAGCCTCAATGCTAGATGCCTTTTCGTAGCCATCTGCCTAATGCCTGGATGGCATAGTCTAGTCTCAGAACATCTTTTTTTTTTCCAGTCGTTCTTGTTAGTCTTAGTTTTAGTTATCTTAGTTAGTTAACTTAACTTGATTAGGGTCAGTTTGAGTCGAGTTTAGGGTTTATAGGGGTTTAGATTTAAGTGTTTAAGTTTAAGGCTAAGGCTCAGGGTGATTTGGGTTGCAGGGTTTGGGTTGCTCAGGGTTTAGGGGGTTCAAGCTGATTTGGGGTTTGGCCTTTAGGCTTTAGGGTTTGGTGGTGATCGTGTTGTTAGTGTATTGTTAGTAGTTTGAGTTTGTGTTGTCCCGTGGTAGAGTCAGGGATCACAGGTTAACAGTTCAAGTCAGTTTCAGATGAGCACATTCCCGTCACAGGCCATGGCAGCATCGAAGCATTTCGAGAACATTCAGCTCGGTCCCCACTTCACCCTGCGGTATCTCATGGCAAAGGCTACCCAGTCCTGCTTGTACAGCAAGTATGCCGACTGTTGGTTGCATTTCTGCAAAAGTAACGACCTTGTGAAAGATTTGGCAGAGCAGCTGGACGCGGGGGAATTGGAGGCTTTGATGGTCATGGAAGCCGAGAACAGAATTGTGGCTTGTTTGCGGACGATTCAAGCTCAGCATCTTCTTGGTTTGAGTGGTTCGCGTTGTCCTGAGGAGGGGCCTCTGGCCGAGGCCAGGAATCTGTGCTTAGCGATGCTGGAAACGGCCTCTGGCCCTGATTCGCTTGAATTCCTTCCAGCCTCGCTGTGCCGGGCAGCCCAGCTTGCAGCCAACATATTGGGCCACGCCGAAGTCGAAATGTCGAAGCTCAAGAAGGACGCAGAGCGTCTTGATGCTCTGAGCACAAGCTTGGAGGAGGAGGATGACAGCACCGAAGCAAGCGCTATCGAGCGCTTCTTTTTGCAGCATCCTACTGGCAAGACTTTGTGGGACTTGGCAATATCCAAGGTTGAGTCCGGCAAGAAGGAAGCCGATGCTGAGGAGGCGCTTGAGAAGTTTGCCGCAGAAGTCACTCAGTTCAGGTTCATGGCTGCGGGCCTCGGGCCGTCGGAACTGATCAGCAAAGTTTTCGAACCGCTAAAGGTGGTATGGCAAGATGCAACCCAGAAGGCAAAAGCCCTCAAGACCAAGAAAGGCGCATTGGTCAGCCGCAACGCAGAAAAGATCAACAATCGCTTGGACTCCGTCCTTGTCGACTTTCTGGCCCATTTGAAAGAAGTGTCGGAAAATTTGTTTTCCGCCAACTTGGTTGAGTGTTTGCGACTTGCCTGCATTCGGACACTGATCTTTGCAGGGATGCGAGTTCCTTTTCAGTTGCTGCAGTGGCCGGTATTTGTATGATAGCCCTAGAGATTAGTAAGATTATACTACTTATTCATGACTTCTTATTTAATTTAATATAATATACCAGTAGTTTAAGTTTACGTTACTATTGGACTATTGACTATTGGATTCTCGGATACGAGTCCTGAAGTCTTAGATCTGATAATTCAGACAACTCATACTTAACAAACTTGACGACTAATATAACAGCTGTGACTCTACTGATGCTGAGGTCGCTCATGTGCGAGGCTTTGAGCCACGACGGCAAAGTCGGACTTTCCGAAGAGGCAGAGTCAGAGCCTTCGCTGATCAACTTGGACGACATTTGGCCAACTTTGAAGCAAACTCACTACGTGGACAGTGGCTTCTGGAAGAGTCTGCCACCTCAGGAGGTGAAGTGGCTGTCGGAGTACAAGACCTTTTCTGAGATGCTGTGCCAGCTTGGTGACTTTGTGTTCCGCCGGCTTCCAGCCTTTGGTCATCTGCCAACAATGGAGCGGAGCCCCACAGTAGTGCGTGAATGGGTGACAGTGTTGCCAGAGGGTCTCAAGCGTTGGTTGCAAGCCCGGAAAAAGCAAGAAGAAGCTCCCGACCCAACGTCAGAGTCAAAGCCAACGATGTGCGAACAACAGTTCGAAGAGCTCTTCTTGACCCCATGCCGCGATCACTTGAAGGGTCTTTTTTCGTCCGGCTTAGGCAGCGTATCACAGATTGTGGCACAGTGCAAGAGTGGCATGTTGGGTGGTGGCTTGGCCAAAGACATGCAGGAACAGCTGCTGCAGCAGATTCCAGCCGCTCATCCACTCCGTTCCTTGGTTTGCTGCTTCCTGGAGGCGACCCTGGATGTTTTCCGTTTTCCAATTTTCCACTTTATGTCCGTGATTGATTGTTTGTTTCATTTATTCAACTCATTCTTTAGCTACGTGGTGTGTTTTTTGACACTTGGGAAAGCCTGTTTTAAGGCCCATGCTTCAAGTAAGTGCTGTTAGGCTATTAGGAGACTCCCACTCACATGTGACACTGACACAGGACTACAATGACAATGTCCCGGTGTGTAGGGGGCTGACGGAGTGTTTGCCTTGTCAAACCATCGTGAGCCGTGAACGAATCGCGTGAATCAAATAATCAATGTGCCATAATAGCAATAATAATTGCCAGAATAAATTAAATTGGACATAGCCATAGGGCCATAGGCTTAATCCATAATCAAAAACCAGAATCATATCATAGAATCTTAGAATGACATCATAACATAAGTCATGAGTCATAAGTCATAAGTCATACGTCAGAAGTATGACATAATTCTTTAATGTGCATGTCAACAGCGCCCTAATGCCAGAATTTCAAGTTTGTAAAGTTTAATGATGAGCTTTTTTGTTGAGTGATGGTTGCCCACTGACCGGACAAACCTGCCTACAGCTGGTTGTTTTTTTATGATTTTAGGCGGAGTCAGTCTATGATTCTATCTATGATGGTCCAGCCCAGCCTCCTAGTCACTAGTCGACTGCCTCAATCTCGGTGAATGACTGTACTTAAACAAAAAATTCAAAAACTTACAGATATAATTTATGTTAGTCTGTCAATCATAAGCACGTTCTACTTATTATAATTCTAAGCCACAAGCACCAGCTCATGCCTGATGTTCCGGATGAGGTTCTGGAGGCAGTCTAGTGAGAGTCTAGTGTCCTGGAGTCCTATGAGTCCTATATATTACTTATTACGATTTATTACTTACTACTGTATATAGTCAGAGTCAGAGTCATAGTCATGACAGTCATAGTATCCGCAGAGTCTAGTGAATTTCCGATCATTCTTCCGACTTATTGTTGGATTGGTTGTCGTGATTGTCAATATTATCAATATTTGTAGTTGCTTTTATTTTGTTTGGCTGGAGTCCAACAGTCCCATGTCATGCCTGGCCCCGAACAGTCTCAGCAGACTTTCGCCCGCAGGTCGCAGCGATCCAGCGCGGCGACGCAGCCAAAGCTGATGACTTGGCTTTGTGCAAAGGCCTCTTGGCCATGGCCGAAGGGTTGGAAAAGGCACGGGCTGAGGCATCCAAGCATGTCGACATCAAGGAGGCTTTGAAGGCATCGGCTCTCGATTCAGTAGACGAGTGGCTGCACAAACAGGGCGTGTGCCTCGGGAGCGCTTTGAAGCAGAAGTACAGCAGTCTTTGCAAGTCTTTGAGCGCCGAGTCGGAGAGCGTCCGTGCGATCTGCGAGAAGCTGCCATCCCTAACAGACGAATCTGAGTATCGTAGCAAAACCTTGCAAGTTACGCAAGCGCTGGCAACAGCGAGCCCAAAGTTGGATTCGTCTTGTGACGGTGTGAAGGGCATACTCAAGATGGTCACAATGCTCGACAAAGTGAAGTTTGGGTTTTTCACTCTCGACGTGCCGCTAAACGACGATGAGGCCTCGGGCCTGGTTGCCACTGCTTCCTGCATGTCGTCTGTTGCGGCCTTCCACGTTACCTTTGTTGCCGGGTTGTGTCTACTTCGCTCGGAAGACTTGGGGAAATCAAGTCCTGCCGGCAAGCAAACACTGAAGAGCTTGTCCGAGCTGGTGCCTACCCTGCAGGCCAACCTGCAGAAACTTGCCGACGACACAATCACTGCAGGATTGAAGGCGCAGGGCAAGAACATCCTGGATGAGGTCATTGCACTCACTGCATCTTCGAAACCTGCAAAGAAGGACTCCACTGCCGCCGCCGAGAAGGCCTCTGAGATTCCAGATGAGGCAGCGAGAAAACCCGAGAAGCCCCAGAAAGAGAAGAAAGAGAAGGATAAGAAAGACTCCAAGAAAGAGAAAGACAAGGACAAGCAGCACAAGGACAAGGATGAGAAGAAGCGCAAAACGAAGGCCGGCGGCAAACCCTAAGGCCCTAAGGCCCTGAGGCCCTAGCAAGGCCCTAGCAAGGCCCCAAAGTCCTTGTGTATACCGTATGCCAGGCACGTAATATATATATATATATATATATATATATATATAACAAGTGTTTTTCTAGAAAAGCCATTATCAATTTATGGCATGGCTTATGGCATATGTCGCATATGTCATCTCTCTATGACAATGCCATGTTTACTGACAAGTAAATGCATGACAGATACTAATTCTGCTTCTGCCCCGAAGTTTGCTGTTGAGTTTTTAAATTCAACGTCCTTTGCGTTGAATTGTAATACTAGAGCCGGCCTTCAGATCATGAAGTCGTAAACCTCGTAAACCCTTCTAATATTCAAATAACCATGTCTTATGCCTTAAGCCTTAAAGTTTAAGCCCTAAAGCCTTAAAGTCTTGCCTTAAGTGATTTGTGCTTTTTTAGACTTATGTGACTTATTAGTGTAATTTATGTTAGTGCCTGAGTGCCTGACTTGAGACTTCGAGAGCAAAGTGCGCTTGAATGAGCCGCAATCTTTGCGACAATTTCTTAAATGTATTTTATTGCAGCATCAACTGTAACAAAGGAAGAGGACGCGAAGATTGCCGGTGCTGAGGACTCCTCCAAGCAGAAAGACGGGAAGAAGAAGGACAAGGGTGACAAGGGCAAGCCGAAATGTCAGGAGAAAGCGATTGAAGCGAACAAGGAAGAGCCCGCGGCGAGTTCTTCGTCGAAGAAGCCCGGTCAGCAAATCTCGAAGCTGCTGTCCATAGTTTCC